ATCTCATTTCATCTTCACAATAATCATGGAAAATTTCAATCCAATTTTTCTGATGAGGAAGCCAAGGCTGCAAGATCAGGGCCAGGGCCCAGGGCCACTCAGCAAGCAGCGGTGGAACCCAAACTGGCAAATCTGCACCTGTGCTTTTCTCCTTCTGGCTCTGAGTCCATCCGGGAGAGGTGGTCTGAAAAACAAACAAGAACTCTAAGGCACAACCTCTGAACTGTGAAGGCTGAATCTCTGGTTCAAGCCAAGAATGGCCTGTAAGTTCAGGATGGAGAAGTTCCATGAGGAGTTTACAAGCCAAAGTTGTTCAGGTAAAGAAGAGAGGATTGTTCCTGGCTTGTAGCTGGTTACCAGCAGCACTGGAAGAGGCTTAAAAGACATGGGGGAGGGCTGGGGCTGGGGCTCAGTGGCAGAGTGCTTGCCTATCATGTGTGAGGCACTGGGTTCGATCCTCAGCATCATATAAAAATAAACAAATAAACGCATTCTGTCCACTTACAACTACCAAAAAAATTAAAATAATAATAATAAAAAAAAAGGACATGGGAGATCTGGGCACAGTGGTGCACACCTGTAAGGCTAGCATCTGAGGAGGCTGAGGCAGAAAGATCGAAAGTTCAAGGCCAACCTCAGCAATTTAGTGAGGCCCTAAGCAACTTTATGAGAACTATCCCAAAATAAAAAAGGCTGGGGGGGCTGATATTGTGGCTCAGTGGTAGAGTGCTTGCCTAGCATACACGAGACACTGGGTTCGATCCTCAGCACCACATAAATGTAAAATAAAAATATTGTGTTTACCTAAAACATAAATATAAAAAAATAATAAAAATTAAAAAGGCTGGAGATGTAGCTAAGTGGTAAAGCACCCCTAGGTTCTATTTCCAGTGCCAAAAAATAATAAAATAAATAGGTCTGGGGATATAGCTCAGTAGAAGAACATCACTAGATTCAAACCCCAGTACCTGGCAGAGGTCAGGGGCGGTGGGGAGGGAGACGAACCAGGGCTGGGATAAACAGGCAACCCTCAACACTCATCTCTGACACCCCACCCCCAAATCCCAACCCCCCTGTATCACAGGGAGAGTTAGAATTAGCAGTTTTCTAGGTTCCCCACCCCCTGCAGGGCTGGGGATGGAACCGATCTATGACCTTGCATGTATTAGGCAAGCACTTCACCTAAGCCACATCCCCAGCCCAAACCCAGAGCCTCCTGAATGCTAAACTTGTGCTTTTTTCCATATTATGTTGACTCCTAGATCCACACCAGGCTCTTGCTTTGGATCCTGTATATCTAAAGCACAACAGGAGAGCAAGAACCCCCAGAGCTTCTCAAAGTCCTTGATGTTTGATATTGACTGTGCCATGATGCCATGAATGAGACATTGAATAAGTAAAAGCATTAAATGATCTTTTTTTTTTTTTGCTTTCCTGCAGCAATAGGGATCAAACCCAGGGCTTCAAACCCAGGGCAAGTGTCCTACATCTGAGCTACATCACTCATGCTCTTTTTTTGTATGGTGCTAGGGATTGAAACCATGGCCTTGTGTATTACGAGACAAACACTCTACCAACTGAGCAATATCCCCAGCCCTCTCATGCTCTTTTTATAAAAATCTTCTATTTATTCTATTCTAAATTTCCCAGGCTGACTTCAAAATTCCAATTATCTTGCCTCAGTCTCTAAGTAGCTAGGATTGCAAGTGTGCACCACAGCTCCTACCTGGGCAAACTATAAAACTTAGTAAAACAATCACAAGTTGCTTTATAATTATACTCTTATTTACAAGAGTAATTTTGCTGGCAGAATCTATTTTTTTAGTGGGTATGTTATGAATTTCTATATATATGGGCATTGTACACATACATATCTGTGTATGTTCTGCAGGTATGTATGTCTATGTATATTCAGGTGTGAGGTACTAGGGAGGCAGAGGAATGAAAGAACAGTCATCCTGGAAGACAGACCTGGGTGGGAAAGCATTCTAAGGTCCTGCTCTGGGCCATGATGGCTCCTGATATGCAGAAGGTGCTGGGCCCCACCCTGATAACATAATGTCTACTTATCAAGGTTCCCAGACTACCCCACCCAGGCACAGACTGTCCTGCAGCTCACACCCTGATCAAAGCAGCCCCCACGCCCAGCTAGGGGCCACAGCTACAGGATCTGACTTGTTGAGATATCTCTGTCCTTTACTTCCCAGATCCCTGGTTTCTACCCAGGCTCACCTTTAGACTTGGTCCCCAGGGACCAGGCAGAAGTCTAGGAATAGAGTGTGGAAAGAATTTTGGTCCTGGTGCATGAAGCCTTCACTTCAGTAAAGGAGTCCTCCAAGTATCTGAGGTCTCTGAGTAGTGGTAGCCTGGGAGGTGGGCTACAAGGAGGCAGAAGCAGACAAATAATTCTCACCTAGCTGAAGCATCTGGGTTGATGACAATTTCTTACCCAAATACTTCACACTTGATTCTTAAAACTTGGTGAACTATTCATCACTGAAGTTCAGAGAAGTGTGACTTGCCCCAGTTATACAGTTAGTGAATTAAAAAATAAAGAAGGGAAGTAAAGCTGCACTATTTCACGTGTGCTAGGCTCTGGTCTGGAAGCCTGAGAATAGTGCTTATAGAATCCTGTATAAAGTAGATATTGATTGATCTCATTTTACATTTGAGGAAACTGAGGCAGAGAGCACAAAGCTGTATGCAATGAGTCAAAACTATCATTCAAGGCCTGTCACCACTAACCCTGGGTTCCCTCTATGGTTCCAAGCTGTTTTTAAGAATATTCCATGGGGTCTGGCATGGTAACACATGCCTGTAATTCCAGTGACTCAGGAGAATGAGACAGGAGGTAAAAGTTCAAAGCCAGCCTCTGCAACTTAGTAAAGCCCTAAGCAATTTAGTGAGAACCTGTCTCAAAATAAAAAACAAAAAAAAGCTGGGGATGTGGCTCAGTGGTTAAGCAAGCCTGGGTTCAATTGTCAATACCAAAAGAAAAAAAAAAAAAAGCTGGGGGACGGGGAGCTTTCAGGTTTTCAACAACAGCCCTCTCTGTGGCATTTAATAGGTTCCTCTCAGGAGGTGACATGGGAATTAACTTGCTTAAATTCCTGTGGGCCAGCATTAGGGCTGTGTAAAGTGTTTTATCAGCAGCTGATTTCCTAGTCCTCACAACTCTTTGAACCAGGGATTATTATTATGCCTATTTACAGATGAAAAGGAGGGTCCAAGAGAGAAAGTAGCTTCTCTGAGAAAGCTACAGATTTGTCTTTATTCTCCCCTTATTGTAGTAGGCTCAGCTTGATGTTAGCCATCAGATATGAACATTTATTTAATTTAGTAGTGAGTGTGTGGTAGAAATACATTGACGAATAAACCAGCTCTCATAATTATTGACTTATATAAATAGGGCTGGGGTGTAGCTCAGTGGTAAAGCACTTGTCTAGTATGTTCAAAGCCCTGGGTTCAATCCCCAGCACTGAAATAAAAAAAAAAAAAAATCGGGCTGGGGATGTGGCTCAAGCGGTAGCGCGCTCGCCTGGTATGCGTGCGGCCCGGGTTCGATCCTCAGCACCACATACAAACAAAGATGTTGTGTCTGCCGAAAACTAAAAAATAAATATTAAAATTCTCTCTCCCTCTCTTTAAAAAAAACAATCTCATAATGGAGGGATTTATTTATTTTATTTATTTGCAGTACTTGGGATTGAACCCAGGGATGCTCTGCCAATGAGCTACATCCCCAGTTTTTTGTTTTTTACATAGGGTCGCGCTAAGTTGCTGAGGCTGGCCTCAAACTTGTGATCCTTCTGCCTCAGCCTCCCCAGTAGCTAGGATTTCAGGTACCACCATGTGATAATGGGAATATAAACAGAAAGACCAGGAAGAGTTCCATGAAGTAACACAGATATGAAGAGGGAACAGAAGTTAACTGGACAAGAATGGAGGGAAAATTATGCTAAGCAAAGGGTAGAACATATGTCAATTAAATGGCAGAAGGAAACAGAATGCCTTCAAAGAAAATTGAATATCTCTTCCTACTCCCCATCTTGATCTAGTTTACCCTGTAGAGGAGAGGGAGCTTCCTCAGAATGAGGGTCTCAATAGTGGAAGCCCTACTTTGAAGAGCTTCTACCCCAGAATTCTCCCAGAAACCCAGAATTGTAGAGGCAGAGAACCAAACAGCATTGGGCTCTCATTTTAAGTGCCTAGAACTCTGGAGAATGGGCCTCCAGCCACCATTTTATTTTATGGCATTAGGGACTGAACTCTGGGGCACTCTACCACTGAAGTACATCCCATACCACCACCACCACCACCGCTGCCGCCGCCGATTTTTTTTTTTTTTTTAAGATAATGTCTCCTGTAATTTGTCTTGTGAGGCCTCAAATTTAAGATCCCCATGCCCCAGTCTCCAAAATAGCTGGGGTTATAGGTATGCACCACTGTGCCAGCTTCCCAGTCACTCTTACACTGGCTGCCACAAGACTTGGGTAATAATAGGCAAGAAATCTTTCTGCCCTTTCTGGCCACCTTGGGCTCAGCATAAATAAAGGCAGGGGCTGGGAATGGAAATTTGGCCTGAGGGTCTTGTAAGCTTGCTCCCAGACAAATTTCACACAGATCCAGCTGCTGGGACCCTCCCTGACCTATAGAAATTCAATTTTTATTCCCCACCATCACCCAAAACAAACCCTTCCACCTGGGTTTTGATTAACAACCCAGCCCTGAAGGATGGGGAAAGGCTGCTCTTTCCACTCCCTAGCTCAGCAGAAAGATGACCAGCTCCATGAGAGTAGGGTGAAAAGTTTAGTAAAATCCTTAAAAGAATGGTGGTTAGAAGGAGGTAGAATGATTCCATCCCCACCACCACATTAAAAAAAAAAAAGCCTAGGACTGGGAATGTGTGGTACAGTGATCCTTGCTCTATGAAGCCCAGCAAGGGAAGGGTTAAGAGGCCAGGCTTTCTAGAACCCAGGAAAAGTGCCCCACCCAGGGGAGGGGCTGGTGGGTTATAAGGCAAGCAGCTTGAGTGCAGTGGAAGAGCCAAGGCCTCCTTACATCCAAAGGCCTCCCCCGGTGTGCAGTTCCAGCTCCAGGTAAGAGCTCCTTTCTGGCTTAGCCTGTCTTCCTGTTAGTCTGACCAGAGGAAACCTACTTCATTATGTTATCTCTGCATTACTCTGGTCCTGGGTCCCTGGGATCCCAACAGACCCTACTTTGTAGGGGCTTCCTCAGGGCCTGTCCCCTTCCCCTAAGCTACTTGGGCTGTGGATTATCAGCTCCCCACTTGGTCCTTCCTCCCACACCACTGTCTTCTCAGTTCTGGGAAGGAACTGAGAAACAGAGAGGAGAAAGCTGTGGAATGTCCAGTTCTTACCTTTCCTGCCCTGTCCCCAGCCCCTAGCTCTCCCTGCCAACTGTGCTCTCCAAGCCTGCTTCATGAGCCTCCGGTAGGGCCCTGGCTGGGATATCATCATATACTGTAAGTTTGTGATGAGACACTACAGTATAGATGATGTACTAGTCCGGGTACCCCCAGCTTTGGATCCTAACGAAGAAAGCAAGGGAGATGCTGCAAGCCCAAGGGCTCACCGCTCAAACTGCTGACTGCTGGGGCACTTGGGAATGGCGAGGAAACCGTTACCATTACTGAGTTTAGTAATGGTAACGGTTCTCTTGCTGCTCCCCAAAATGGCCAGGAAGAGTGCTGAGGACCCTGGAGCAGCTCCTAGAAGAGAGAGAGACTCCAGCTCCAACAGGAGTCAGTGGGTGAGGGAATGGGTGTTTTCTCTTCCCTTTTCTGAAGAAATAAAGATGAGAACCAGAACAATTGTCTTTTAATTTTATTAGTATCCCAAGAATGGGCAGAGGAATGGGGTGGAAAGGATCAGGAACTTGGGGGAGCAAGTGGGTGGTACTATCTTACTCGGGAAACTCAGGCCTTTATAAGATTTCAAGGTGGACTGGGGTTGTGGCTCAGTGGTAGAGCGCTTGCCTAGCACATGGAAGGCACTGGGTTCAATATAAAGTTAAAAAAGATGGGGCTGGGGATGTGGCTCAAGTGGTAGCGCGCTCGCCTGGCATGCGTGCAGGCCAGGGTTCGATCCTCAGCACCACATACAAACAAAGATGTTGTGTCCGCCGAGAACTAAAAAATAAATATTAAAATTCTCTCTCTCTCTTTCTCTAAAAAAAAAAAAAAGATTTCAAGGTGCAGGAACTAAGAAGAAGACAAAAATATCTTCCCTGCTAAGAACTGGCAACTTAGGACAATACTCTAGGCACAATGCCTTGAGAGGAGGGGAGGGTGGCACTACCCCTACCAAGAGGTCAGTTTCTGAGACCAACATAGCTATTAACCTAGGAAAACTGACTAACTGGGAAGTGAGCCAAGACAGGTTCCTTTCTCCAACAGGAGACACAGCTGGGCAGGAATTGGGCAGGACTCAGCAAAGTGGAACCAGCCAATGTCCATGCCACTCATTAGGCCCTGGAGGTCCCCTCAGCAGGGACAGTTCTGGTCAATGACTTCTGCTAGAGTGGGATGCCCTAGGAAGGGCAGTAGGGGTTGTCACTTGAGTAGCTTCACAGAAAGGCGTATCTGAATGTCACAGAGGAAGATGTCCATTAGGTCGCGGCCCACCTCCTGGGCAATCTGGGAGATAAGATGGCCCTTCTCACCAATCAGGATCCTCTGAGAGTGGGTAAAAGAGAGGGACATGGTCTGCTTTCAGGGCTCCACGAGGGGGGGAAGAACCCCTGCCCAACATAGCCTTTGTCCCTCCCATGAGTAGGTTCACTTACCATATGAGATTCTTTGGGTACCAGAAGGTTCTGATGGATTATCAGCTCCCCACTTGGTCCTTCCTCCCACACCACTGTCTTCTGTACAGGGAAATATGACTAATCAGATAGGTCCATCTCTGCTTCCTAGCACCCAGCTGTACTGTTCTGAGCATGCCTGGTGCCCCCAGATCCTTTCACTCTGCTCGCACCTGCTGCACATTGTAGGGCACCTCCTGGGGGAGGTACTCTAGGAGTTTCTCTCGGATTTTGTTGATACAGATCTCTTCAGGTGTCTGGCTAGTGAGGACTCCACTGTGGAACTCCCAGGGTCCTGGTTGGGCCTGTGCCAAGAGGTATTGCTGTGGGCACAAAGGAATATGTGGCATCTTAACTCCAACACATTCTTGCTCCTAGGAAAATCTGAGACCTATCTTTTTTTTTTTTTTTTTTAATAATAATATTTATTTTTTAGTTTTCAATGGACACAACATCTTTGTTTTGTATGTGGTGCTGAGGATCGAACCCGGGCCGCACGCATGCCAGGCGAGCGCGCTACCGCTTGAGCCACATCCCCAGCCCCTGAGACCTATCTTGACACAATAGAAACCAAGGGCCACCAGGCACAGTGGCACATACCTATAAACCCAGCAGCTTGGGAGGCTGAGGCAAGAGGATGGTGAGTTCAAAGCTAGCCTCAGCAACTGTGAGGTGCTAAGCAACTCAGTGAGACTTTGTCTCTAAATAAAATATGAAATAGGGCTGGGATGTGGCTTAGTGGTTGAGTGCCTGAGTTCAATCACCAGAACCTGCCCCCCCACACACCAAAAAAAAGAAAGAAAGAAATCAAGGGCCAAGGCCAACTGACCTTTAGTGTCTTCACATCCTCTTGGCTTAGAGCTGACAACATGAAGATCTCCTGGAAGTTGGGCCAGCCAATCTTCCCAGCATTTTTCTCAGACTGTGTCTTTAAGTCCTTGGCTGCTGGTCTAGGACAATGGGTGTCAGGACATGGGCGGAAGGCCTGTCTTATATTAAGCTTCTTTCCATTAACCACACCTTCAGTGAGAGCTGCTGTGAGCTCCAGGAGAATTGACTTCTGCTTCAGGCAATCTACCTGGATATGGAGGAATAAACAAAGTGTGTAGTCCTGCTGACCACAGCTCTTTGAGAGAAGAAGATCCCTTTCTCAGGTGGGCAGTGCCTACCTTGTTCAAGACAAGAATGCTGGGGACCTGAGAGAACTGGGTCAAGCACTGGAGCACCTGAGGGCTGAGCTGATTTCGAGTCCACTTGTCTGAGACATCCACAAGAACTAAAACTGGAAGATGGCAGGAGAGACAGAAAAATTAGTATGTGGCCACTCTTTTTCCTGTCCTCATAAAAACTTCCATGCTATGGGCTCTGGCAGGTCTCCAACCCCCAAACTACCAGGGATGAAAGGCCATGACCCCTGTAAATTTATATTCCAATACTGAGCCTAACCAAGGTCAGCAGATTCCATGCTCTTCCATGGATCTTCCAACAAAGAGAGCTCCAGATGGTGCCTGGGGGACAGACATATGTCAGGAAAGGTCTCATGACTGATGCATTTTTTTTGGGGGGGGGGGGGCATCATTAGGGATTGAACTCAGGGGTACTCAACCATTGAGCCACATCCCCAGACTTATTTTCATTTTCTTTTTTGTATTTTATTTAGAGATAGGGTCTGAGTTGCTTAGCACCTTGCCATTGTTGAGGCTGGCTTTGAACTCTTGATCCTCCTGTCTCAGCCTCCCAAGCCGCTGGGATTATAGGCATGTGCCACCATGCCCAGCATGACTGATGCATTCTTGATGAATCCTCTTGTGGTAAGAGGATTTTCTAGCTCCAATGATGGAATCTCCCCACCCGCTTTTTCTATACCTTCCCCTCTACCACCACCCACTTTCACAGCCACTACCTCTTCTGTTTAACAGGACTGATGATTCCAGGTGTGTCAAGCAGAATCTAGAATCAGAAAAGAAAGATATACAGACCCCAGAAGAAAAGACTAGGGAATAAGAGAGACGCTGTCTTTAATGTTAGTAGCCTGTCCTCCCTTCTTAGCCAAACTGTTAATGACTTTAGGGTTTATTTTGTTTTTGTTTTGGCACTGGGGATTGAACCCAGAGGTTCTCCATCACTGAGTAACATTTTTAGCCTTTTAAAATGCTTTTTTAACTTTGAGGCCAGGTCTCATTAAGTTGCTGAGGTTGGCCTAAAACTTGTGATCCTCCTACCTCAATCTCCTGAGTTACTGGGATTACAGGCATACACCACTGCACTCAGCCTGACTTTATTACCATTTAGCAATGCTTTAATTCTAGATGAGATCCGAGAGGAAGATGGTGAATCAATGTAAGATTGCAGGGCAGTAAAGAAGGAATGATAACTTCAAACTAGATGGCAAAGAAGAAAAAGTAGAGAGAACTGCATTGAACTTTAAGGAAGAGGAGACTCCCTTCCCTCAGACAAGTGACTCTAAGTATCATTTTCTTAAAGTCTAATGGTAGGGGAGACTTTCTTGGCTTTATCCTCTGTCCTGTTTTCAGAACTCACTTTGCAGGTACGTACCACCTGAGATTCCTTCTCTGTGATGACCCCTAGAGCCTGGCAACGTGTAGTGTGCACCTTCTTGGAGACAGGGAACACCTGTCAGGAACAAAGAAGTTTCAATGAGATACTAGATCCCTCTAGGACCATCCATGAAGGCAAAACAAGAAGAGATTAAAAAACAAAAAAAAAGTGGGTGCAGTATATGTGGATCAAAATGAAACATACATTTCGGCCTAGCAGCTGGTTAGAAAGCGTTGACTTCCCTGCATTGGGAGCTCCCAGGAGGACCACTCGTAGCACTCGGGGATTCTCAGGCATGTCAGGGGGTTGAACCAAGAGGAGATTCTGCTCATCTGTGTTTAAGTGAGGAAAGAAGTGAGATATAGTGCAATCCGGACTCTCTGTTAGCTACTCAGCCCTTTCCATCCACAAAAGAAATAAGATTAAGGGGCTGAGGTTGTGGCTCAATGGTACAGTGCTTGCTTAGCACATGTGCAGCACTGGAATCATGACAGGTTCAATCCTCAGCACCACATACATGTAAATAAATAAAGGTATTGTGTTCATCTACAACTAAAAAAAAATTTTTTTAAAGATATAAGATTAATGAACCAGGCTGAAGCCACCTAGACTTGACTTTGAGACTTTGATTGGTCTTTCATTTGTTCTTGCAATTTTACCATGTTTTCTAATCTAAGCCCCTTAAGTTTTCTCATATGTAAAATGGAGCTGACATTATGGTATCTACTTATAACTTTCTTTTGACAACTGGAAATTGTGCAAAACCACTTAGTATAATATATAGCAATTAACAGATACTCAATTACTGTGTGTAATTGTACTGTGTAGCTGTGTCTAGAAAACATGCATCTGTTATAGCTAAGTGCAAGCACAGTGTTCCTATAGTCCCAGATACTCAGGAGGATGAGGTGGGATAACTACCTGAGCCTAAGAGTTGGAGACCAGCCTGGGTAACAGGGAGACCCTGTTTAAAAAAAAAGAAAAGAAATAAAGAAGGTGGTACAGCTGGTTTAGACAAAACCAAAAATTTCTTTCCAGCTCTGACATATAATCCTAATAAAGGCACTATGAAAGTTCTGCAAACTTTGTCTTTCCTTATTACTCTGTAATGCAATTAACAGTTTATGTCCAGCATCCCTACCAGACTCTAGTCTATGCCACTAGAAGAATAAAGTGTGCTATTTCCCAGATGTAACTCAGTGTCTTTACACTGTAGATGGGGATCAAGTAGAAGGAGCTGGACATACATTTATTGGATCAAATTTGCTTGCTACATGGAGGCAGGGAGGCATAACTCTGCCTTGCCTCCTGCTCTTTTACCATTGCTGGTTACGACCAGATCTGGTCCCCTACCCAAAAGTCATAACTTTCATGGCCTCAAATTCTTTTTTTTTTTTTTTTTTGGTACCCGGAATCGAACCCAGGGGTGCTTAACCACTGAGCCACATCCGCAGACCCCTTTTTATTTTTATTTTGAGGCAGGGTCTCGCTAAATTCCTTAGGGCTTTGCTAAGTTGCAGAGACTGCCTTTGAACTTGCAATCCTCCTGCCTCAACCTACTGAGTTGCTGAGATTACAGGCATGGGCCATCACTCCCGGCTCAAATTCATTTTTTATAAAACCGGGCCAAAGACGATATCCCCAGAGAGTCTTTCCGACACGAAACTTTCAGTGCCAAAGCCAAGACAATCCCAGGAAAACCTATCTAATTCCTTTACCTCTATACATGGACACCGCCGGAGCACATGCAGTCAGCGAATTCTCGGGCTGAGAGACTCCAACGAAGTGGTCCATAGCTGAGCCCTGGCCATAATGGCGAGAGGCTGAGGCCAGGCGGGGATTAGAGAAAGTGGCAGCCCCCATACTGGACACGCACCTCCTTTGACAGCCTAAAAGTGAACGAAACGGGGCCACCCATTCCCTCACCGCGTGGGGACCCAGCTGCCAGACTTTCAACCCCGCGCGAACAAGCTCAACCCCACACCTGCCAGGGGCAGCCATTGCCATCGCAATGCACTCCGGGAACCGATCAGGGCGCTCCTACGATTGGACAGCGAGTCCGACAAAACAGGGAGTAGAAGGGAGATAGACAGGCCCAAACAGAACAGAGGCGTGTGGGATGTTGGAGGTTTGGTGGGGGAGGAAACGCTCAGGAGACTAGATGAGGCTAAGGAAAGAAAAACCACATGTAGTATTTAGGGTCTGTATGAGCATGACAATAGTTTTGGGCTCTCATAACATATTTTCTTCTCCTGCCAAGGTTTTGTAAAAGGTCCTTCTAGTCTGTCACTTGAACGACTACATCTCCCATGTAGCCAAGCGACAGAAAACCTCTTCCTCGCTTCCTCGCCCCACGGGAGAAATTTCGTGTGTGCAGACGGCTAGCGGTTTGGGTCGTGGTAGGGGACGCTGTGCTCCCTGTTCCTGTAAGGGTTTTTTTGTTTTGGTACTGGTATTGAATTCGGGGGCGCTTTACCACCAAGCTACACTTTTTTTTTTTTTTTTAGACTGAGTCTCCCTAGGTTGCCCAGGCTGGCCTCAAATTCATGGTCTTCCTGCCTCAAGCTTCTTGAGTCTGTGGGAAAACAAGGGACAATCATCGCGCCCGACTTAAAGATGGAATTAGATCCCCAGTCCCCCCGGCCCCCGCGTTATCGTTTTGTTTTGCTTTTGGTACAAGGATTGAACCCAGCCTGAGGCGCTCTACCAACTGAGACATATTCCAGCCCTTTTGATTTTCAGACAGGGTCTCGCTAAATTGCTGAGGCTGGCCTTGAACTTGCGATTTTCCTGCTTCAGTGTCTCCAGCCACTGGGATTACAGGTGTGTGCCACCACGCGTGGCATCCCCCAGCCCTTTTTTGTTTTATTATTATTGCTATTGTTTTGGAGACAGGATCTTGCTAAGTTGCTGAGGCTGGCTTCGAATTTGGCGATTCTCCTGCTTCAACCTCCAACTCAAATTATAGGCGTGCACCACCACCGCCAAGCTGAAGTGGAACATTTTTGTTTGCTTATGACAATCATCCAGTAGACAGGGAAAAAAAAAAAAAAGTGATGATATAGGGGCTGGGGTTGTGACTCAGTGGTAGAGCGCTTGCATAACGTGTGAGGCACTGGGTTTGATTCTCAGCACCACATACAACTAAATAAAATAAAGGTCCATCAACAACTAAAAAATATTTTTTAAAGTGATGATATAGGACAGAAGAGGGGAGAATTTTGAAGGTGGAAAGAACTAAGTGTTGCTGTTGTAAGTATAGAGAATTGGTATCCAGAGAATCTGAATGACACAGAATTGACAAAGGCTTGGAAACCCAATGCAGTGATGGTCTGCAAATGACACTACGGCCTCAGATTTCAGGAAGCCTGCTTTGTTAGTGGAAGGAATAGCCTTTTGGGAACATTATATTCTAGATGTTCTTTGGGCATAGAGGTGCCCATGGGGAAAAATACTACTAAAATAAATGGGATAGCCAGCAATGAGAAAATTTTAAAACTTTTTGGTATGTATTAAATGAACAGTTTGGTGAAATGCCATTACAATTGTAATTAAAGTAAAGAGAAATTTTCAGGTTAAATATGGTAAGTGAATGAAGATCTTAATTACATAAATGCAAAATCATCCAAGAATCGGCTGGGGATATAGCTTAGTTGGTAGAGTGCTTGCCTGGCATGCACAAGGCCCTGGGTTCAATCCCCAGAACCACACATACACACACAAAAAAAATCATCCAAGGAACACATACTAAATATTGCTGGGCCAGCAACAGATACAATTATGGAAGAATCCCAGGATGATATAGAAACTGAAGTAAAATGAGTTAAAGTGCCTTATCAATTCTTTTTGCAGTTATGGGAATCCAATTCAGGGTTTCTCACAGGGTAGGCAAACAATCTACTACTGAACCATACCCCCAGAAATTCTTTTTGTAAGTAGATATTTTCCCTCAAATGATAACATAGGGGATTTTATATTTTGTTGGATTAGGATAGGCTCATCAAGTGAAATCTGGGTTCATTTCCCAGCATTGACATTTATTTACTGTGAGTTTGGAAGAGTTAAACTTTCTGTCACTCTCCTTATCTGTAAAATGAAGATGATGACCATAAACATCAAAAGGAACATATGTTCATTTGAATCCAGGACTTAGAACAAAGTAGGCTTACAATATATGTTTTTATCCTAAGGCTAATTATTTTACTCCTCTAGGGATTTAGTTCCATGAATTATCTCTTTTTTTTTCTGTGCAGAGAATTTTTATCTGTACTACATTCATTTCATTAACATTTAAGTTAAAACTGCATAATATCTTTTTAAAAAAATATTTATTTATTTATTTATTTATTTTAGAAGTAGTTGAACACAATACTTTTATTTTATTTATTTTTATGTGGTGCTGAGGATTGAACCCAGGGCCTCACACATACTAGAAGAGCACAACCCCAGCCCTAAAACTGCATAATATCTCATAATATCTTCAAAAACTTCTCTGATCTCAAATCCCTTTCCAAGTAAGTGTCACTCATCTTTCTCACTAATATGTGAAGAAAGTACAGTGAAAATGGTGGGAGAAGCAGATGGATTCCAGAGATTTAAAGTGATAGAATCAGTAGTTTGTGCTGGACGTGGTGGCCCATGCCTACAACCAGTGTCTAGGGAGGTTGAGGTAGGAGGATCACAAGTTTGAGGTCAACCTCAGCAATTTAGCAAGACCCTGTCTCAAAATTAAAAAAAATAAAATAAAAAAAAAGACTGGGGATGTGGCTTAAAAAAAAAAGTTGTGCTTTAAACCATCCTTTAATTCAGCCACACTGGTGTTTATATCCTTTGAATATACTTAGTTTGTATTTGCCTTAGAGCCTTTAAACCTGCTACTTTTGCCTCCTGTACTCTTCTAGATCTTGTAAGATCTTGTATCTGTTCCCCATGCAGGTCTCAGGTCAAATATCACTGTCTCAAAGAGGCTCTTCTTCATACTTTTATTACTGCCTGAAATGATCAAAAGGGGTCTTTCTGTCTTTGATCTTACCAATCTCCCTGTGGCCCCAACCTGACCAAGTCACTCTATTGCTTCACTGCTCTGAAGATAAAGCACAAACTAATTAGCATTATTCTGGCTTGTTTGTAAGTCCCATTCTCTTGTCACTCTCTTTTTCCTGCTCAATTAAATTTCTTTTAGATCCTCCAATTTCCCTGGTATTAACTCTCACTTCCAGGCTAATAGATTGTTTCTTCCCTGACTGCTTAAATCCTTTTATTTTCTTTCTCTCTTCTTCTTTCCTTCCTTCTTTACTGTTGGGGATTAAACCAAAGTTGCCCTACCACTAAGCTATATTTTGAGACAGAGTCTTGCTAAATTTCCCGGGCTTTTCTCAAATTCACCGTCATTCTGCCTTGTCCTTCCAGGTAGCTGGGATTTCAGATGTGTTGACCATGCCCAGCTGGTTAAAGCTTGGAGGACTTTTTTTCACCTGTCTATGACAAGGCAATTTATAATACTGTGGGTTTTTTCCTATGGGGATTGAACCTAGGGACATTTAACCATTGAGCCACATTCCCACCCTTTTTATTTTTATTTTTTTATTTAAAGACAGGATCTTGCTAATTCCTTAAGGCCTCACTAAGTTACTGAAGTTGGTCTCGAACTTTCAATCCTCCTGCCTCAGCCTCTTGAGTCACTGAGATTACAGGTATGCACTACTGCACCCAGTTAAATTTATGATATTGTGATGGAACACATAAATTATCAAAGCCAGAAATCATGGGTTTGATTCTCATCTCTATTATTTATTTCATGACCCTGGACAAGTAACGTCTCTTTCAGTTTTTAAAATAGAGATAGTGATAATATTCTCATGGGATTATTATGATGATTGAGAGAATTGTCAGGCTAGGGTTTAGCTCAGTAGTAAAGTGCTTTCCTGCCACGTGCATAGCCCTGGGTTCAATTCCTAGCACTGCAAGAAAATAGAGAAGGAATTGCTGTGTAAATGTTTGATGTTGCTATTATATTCTATTGAACTGTAAGTTCTGTGAGAACAGGGTTTGGATACGTTGTTCATTGCTATATCTCCTGCACCTAGAATCATTTCTGGCACAGAATAGTACTAAATAAATTTTAGTTTAATAAGTGAATAAATGACATCTTTTTCTGGATCAGCTCTCTCCTTGTGGTATCTTATGGCTGTAGCAGCTTTAGATAGTACATCTTCTCATGTCTAGATTCAATGGGAAAAAATAAGAGATTTTCTCAGAAGCAAAATTCTTGTGCTTTTTGTCTCTGACTCTATTTTGAAACATCCCTGAAAGAACCATAGCATCTTCGGGAATGTTATATCCTGATCAACTTGGGTCTGGGGTATGTGCTTCATGCCTAGAGTAAGCCTCATCCAAACCATATAATCTGAAAATAGAGTAAGGGTAGTTCTCTGAATGACTATACTGGATATTGTGAATGAATACTTAGCAGAAAAAAAAAAAATCCACTAGGGCTGGGATTGTGGCTCAGCGGTAGATTGCTCCTCTAGCATGTGCAAGGCCTGGGTTTGATCGTCAGCACCACATAGAAATAAATAAACAAAATAAGGGTATTGTTTCCAACTATTTTTAAAAATCCACTATTGTGCCGTTGGTAAGAAATTCAAATATGGAAATGGCCCAGGAGACCCAGAAAGGCTTAAATATAGGAAAATACACTATCTTATAAACTCCAGCAGGCCTTCCCAGGAGGCTGCATGTGGCGATACCCCAGTAGGCAGGAAAATATTGATGATATAGGACAGAGCACAGAGAAGGAAGACACAATTCCCAGAAATTTCAAGATCAGCTTAGGGCTTTTTTTAAAAAGGCATCTATTTATTAGAACATAGTGTCAATATAATTCTTCCTCCTTTCTGCCTCTGTAGTTCCCCTGTGATGCCAATTGTGCTCCCTCTCCAAAGGGTAATATTTTTGCCAACTCTTCAAAGCCAGGAGTTAGTCTTTGGGATTGATCCTGGGCT